CGTGACATGCATTGCGCCACCTTCAGTCCTCGACAATCCTGACAATTGGAAACTCACTTTCTTAGTCGAGAACCCAACCAATGATTATAATTTCTTATATGATGAATTTGATGCCAAGATTACCTACAAGGATACAGTTCTTTGGCAAGATGATAATTCTGCTAGATTTTATCAAGACGAAAGCGCTCAAAACTTCGTCGATGCAACTTTTGGTGCTTTGCCTGATAGTTACAATGAATGGATGACTAACACTGTTATGAATGATGTTGCTTCTGGTCTTTCCACAAGATTTTCAGTAAATTTAAATGGAAAAGTTCAAATAAGCCACCACGAGGAGGCGCAACGTAATTGTGGAAAATTGCAAGTCTCATGTAAGGATTTGGAGATTAAGTTCTCGCAAGGTTCCAGCATTGGAATGTTGACGGCTACTTCAGATGCTTGTGCGGTACATTTGCGGAAATCAAGTTGTTGATTGAAGCTGTTCGGGCTATATGAAAACATACAGTTTTGGATTATTTTTTTTTTTTTTATTTACTTTAATAGAGTGATAATATTTTTGTAGTGAAATTTATGAAAATACGTTATGTTCCGGTTCTTATGTACTTTTTAATCCAATGTTTGAGATCACATATTTAAATGTTTGACATGAATTTTAATATTCTCTTGTTTAACTTTCTTTTGCGGTCGTTATTCAAGTTTTAGCATCCTTTAATTAATCTGTAAAATAAGGAACAGAAATTGGCCTTATAACACAATAATCCACAAAAGAGTGCAAAGTAATGATTAAAATGAAGAGCGTCTAATTAATGTCGATAGATAAGTGATCAGCTCCTTATGATAGTTCTTTGCCATTACAAAGCGAAAAAAAGGAGTCACTTCAAACAATACACAAATGAATGAAGTTAATCAACCATAAAAAAGCCAACCAAACTACTCTGGCAACTAATCTGAGTCTAGTTTCTAATTCTAGGTTTGAGAAATATATCTGTTATATTAAAATCAATAGCATGATGTCGCCATGGGCGAGAACTGCATTAAAATCATGCATGAATTAGAATTTATAGCTACGAAATCTCAGCTACGAATTTAAAAATCATGGCTAATACCTTACAATAGCCAGAAAAATTCGAATTTCCTGGCTATTTACAAATTCGTAAAATTTGCTAGCGTCAAAAATTAAATTGGTAAAGCTAATTCCTTATTTTTGCTATAATTGCTAACAATCGTAGCAATAATTACCTAAATAGCTACAAATTTATTGCTACCTTAAAAATGCGTAGCTAATTCATAGTACATTTTAGCAACGCATTAAAATTTATTGTAGCAATAGTAACTTTTTAGCCACAATAAATTATTTGGAATAAAATATTGTAGCTAAAGAAATACATTTGCTTCAAGTTATAAAAAACTGTGGCAATAGGTAAATGATATAGCCACGAATATATAGTTATGACAAAATATTGTAGCTAATTGTTAGTTTTTGCTACAAACTGAAAGTTATTGTAGCAAAAGTAACCTTTTAAACATAATATATTATTTAAAATAAAATATTATAGTTAGATAAATATTTTCGCTTCAAGTTCTAAAAATGATGGCAATAATTGGCTTAATAGCTATAATTATTTTTCATTACAGACTGAAAAATATGGTGAAAACGGGGCAGTAACTGATGTGATGATGTGATGACCCGGCCCGTCGTCACGTGAGTTACCGCCCCGTTTTCACCATATTATGTTTCTCTATGCTTCATTATCGGTATTTGAGGTAATCGAGTTGGATTGGTTTGGTTTTGGTAGGAAATGAGACATTTAGTCTCTTTAAGGAAAGCTTGTTTTGGAAAAGTCAACCAGAAGTTGACTAGTTAGTTAGAGGGCTCGGATGTGATTTCCGGTGATTCGGTTAGCTTTGGGGGATGATTTGTGACTTAGGAGCGCGATCGGAATTGGTTTTGGAGGTCCGGTGTAGAATTAGGCTTGAATTGGCGAAGTTAGTATTTTGGCAAATTCCGGTTGGTAGGTGAGATTTTGATCCGAGGGTCGGAATAGAATTCCGAGAGTTGCAGTAGCTTTGTTAGGTAATTTTGGATGTGCGGGTAAAATTTCAGGTCATTTGGACGTCGTTTGGTTGGGTTTTTGATCGAATGTGAGTTTCGGAAGAATTTGATAAACTTAGGCTTGAATCCGTGGTGAATTGATGATTTTTGTGTTGTCTGACGTGTTTTGATGATTGGAGCAAGTTCGTATGAGGTTTTAGGTTGTGTTGGTGTTTTGGTTGAGGTCCCGGGGGCCTCGGGGTGAATTGGAGTGGTTAAAAGAGAGTTTTTGAAGGTTTCTTCAGGTCTGATATTGCTGGTATCTGGTATTTCCGCTTCTGCGGAAATGGACCGCAGAAGCGGTTCCGCAGAAGCGGGTGGGCGATCGCAGAAGCGGCTAGGTGTGGGCTAGGGTAGTTCCGCATAAGCGGAAGTTGGTCGCTTCAGCGGGTCCGCATAAGCGGACATTGTACCGCAGAAGTGGTTTTGAGAGAACCGCAGAAGCGGAGTTCGAGTCGCATAAGCGAAGTCTGGGTTTTTAAGTGAAGACCGCATAAGCGGATTTTTGGCCGCAGAAGCGGTCCCGCATAAGCGGAAGCGGGACCGCATAAGCGAAAATTGCTGTTGGCAGAAAGGTTTAAAGGATTTATTTCATCCGCGAGCTCCACCATTTTTCCTCCATTGTTGAGCGAGCTTGGGAGCTATTGACGCGATTTTGTGAGGGTTTTGACTGGGAATCAATTGGAGGTAAGTCCTATGGTCTAGAAACATCATTTTTATTGAAGAATCTACCTTTAATTCTTGGAAAATTGGGTAAAAATTGGAAGAACTAGGGCTTAGGTTTTGGAATGAAAATTTGGGAGTGAAGTGGCATTTGAACTCCGATTCTGACGATTTTGATATGTATGGACTCGTGGCGAGACGAGGAATCCGGAGACGTGAATTTCGTAATTTTTCGAGAAGCGGGCCCGAGGCTCGGGTTTTGCCAACTTCGTGATTTTTGATATTTTTTTCGAGTCTTTTCGATTGGGTTATGACCCATTAGCCTATTGTGATGTATTCCTTGTGGTTTTGATCAGATTCGACGTGCGAGGAGGTCGATTCGAGGGGAAAAGGCATAGCGAGCTAGACTTTGGCCGGCTAGAGGTGAGTAATGATTTTAAATGATGTTCTGAGGGTTTGAAACCCCGGATTTGCACAACTTGGTGCTATGTTGAGATGAGACACGCGTTCCATGACGAGCGCGGGGTCATTTACTATTGAGGACTGTGACTTGGTCCAGTCCGGATGACATTTTACCGCGTATTAGCAATGACTTGTTGTTTTCACTATGTTTTGGGCTTATGGCCATATTTGGGGCTTATTGCTGACTGTTTGAACTCTTTATGAACTATCATCACTGTTTTCCTCACTATTTGAAATATTATTTGAACTCAGTCCATGTGATTTACACTGTTTCTTGAATTCAGCCATATTTACTCAAACTTGGAGTTTTAAACTGATATTTGAACTATTGTTTGAGGTGAGTATTATTGCTTTACTGTTGCCCGAGGGGCTGTTGACCATTGCTGGACTGATTGAGGCCGAGGGCCTTATGTGAGGGCATGATGAGTGAGGTGAGGAGACTTTCAGGCCTCGTATTGATATTATTTAGGCTTTCAGGCCTTGTTGTTAGCGCTTGGGCTGTAGGAGCCCCTCCGGAGTCTGCACACCCACAGTGAGCGCGGGTACCCATCTAGAGTGATTAAATATTGAACAGTGGTAACAATGACACTGTTATACGCGTTTGGTCAGGTAACAATGACTGACCAGTCAGGTAACAATATCTGACCAGTGGTAACAATGGCACTGTAGCACGCATTTGGTCAGGTAACAATGGCTGACCGGTCAAGTAACAATGGCTGACTTACTGGTTGAGTATGATTGATTTTTAACTGTTTTCAAAGGATTTTCTTACTATATTTCACGGGTTTCTACTGTTTATCTGATGTTGCTGCTTGAGATAGCATTATTTGTGCCCTTGTGGGATTTTATGTTCTCAGTCGTTATTTATTTTTATTACTCACTGGGTCGGAGTACTCACATTACTTCCTGCACCATGTGTGCAGAGACAGGCACAGCTGAGTTCGTACCTGAGCGCTGATTTCCTTCCAGACCAGACGGACTAGGAGAGACGAGGTAGGTGTCGACGTCCGCAGCCCCGTTTCTTCCTCATCTTCTGCATATTTTATTCATATTCAGACTATGTTCCAGACTTGTAATATTTTCATCAACTCTGTAGTAGCTCGTGACTTGTGACACCCCGATCATCGGGCTGAGTTTGGGATGATTTTTCCCCGTTATGTTATGTTTATTTCCGCACTTACGATTTATTAGTATCTATGGTTTAAACCTGTTTATGCTAAGAAATTGTCAAAAGTAGTGTTGATTGTTCTGTCGGCTGGCCTTGTCTTCACGAGAGGCGCCATCACGACCGGGTGGGAATTGGGTTGTGACATAGTAGCACGACAATAATTAATGAGAGAAACCTGCGTTACGTTCCAAGCAGAATTAAAGTGTGAGCCACCAATATGGTATTTTAAAACAATTTTCAAATTCTTGAATTGTCATCAATGGGTGCAGAAAAGAGCTAGCTAATAAAGTTTTGAGGAACTTCCATTTCCTTTTCTGGTTTTCTGTTTGCTTAAGAATTGTTTTATCTATAGTAACTTCAATTTGATTTCTAAAAGAGCGAGTCAATCCATATACACGATCCAACTAGCTTGTGATTGAGACGTAGTCAATGCAGAAAATAGGGTCGATTAGAGAAGCTGCTATTTGGGGAATATGAGTTTTAAAATTGGAAGAACAGAGTTAGTCTCAAGTTCTTGTACATGTGGTAGTTCAAATATCTCTGTCGTATTTGATAAATCCACGCGTACTACGTAGCAAGATAGTTGTTGTAAGAAAATACAGTTCAACAAAGATCTGAAGTCAGATAAAAGACATGCCATATATATATATTACGTATCATCATATACATATACAAGTTCATTCAAGTGTTTCGCCAGACCCCGTGACCCAGACTAGGTAACAGAAAATACAGCAAAAACACATACAGTCACTCAACCCTTGTCAGATGGCAATAAGTACAAAAACTAAAGTGTTTGAAGCACATAGCTTCAATCATCGTCCTCGTCTTCATCATCTTCCTCTTCCTCTTCTTGTTCACCCTACAGATTGTCGAGTACTAGTAAGTCCGATATGAAACATTGTTGATAAATGAGTCTACTTGAAATACAAAACTATGCACCATTAAAGGAGCATAGCAACTCTGATAATGGATCCCAAATCCCAAAAGAGGACAGGCATAAATTGTTTATACACTAACTAACAACTAGCTTCATAATAGGGAAAGGTGCTATATTGCTTGCCTTCTCAGATTTCATAGAGCAGATTCAAATCACACATCTGACATCAAATCTATTACGAATTTAGCAATAATTTTGTCGAAACCCCCCGGCATCCGTGATAATTATCATGACTTGCCTTCTCAGGCACAAGGTTCTAGTACTAAATGCCTCTCAAACTATACAGATTCATGTTGGATCAATCATTCCTAAAGCGTTACATCGAAGATCTGCTCCCTCGTCCATTTTTGCAATCAAAAATGCGCCTCACGCATCAGTTAATACAAAAAAGGCATTTGCCACCCCAAAGAGAAGGGCCTAGAAATACAACTAGAAGGATCAATAAACCCAATATTTAACACCCTTACGGATAGGCAGAACTGTGACCCAACAATTCTCTTGTTTTAACACCCTTAAAGAAGGGGGGACCGTGAGCCGACAACAACCTTGTCAACATATACTCAAAAACTATTAGATGAACTTATAAGCATGGAGTCAATACAACACTATAGAACCGTAAAGGGCAGCCCGGTGCACAGAGCATCCCTAGTTCACATAGGGTCTAAGGAAGGGCCGCAACCCCAAAGGAGTGTGACGTGTAGATCACACGGAGACAACTCTAGCATTGCTCCAAGGATCCCCTTCAACACCATAGAACTATGAAAAAATAGTAATACCTGTCCACTGCCCCCTGCATCGTCATCATGTACCTCAGATTTTGACCTCTCAGATTCTTCTTCTTCGCCATCATCGTCTGAGCTTTCCGGCTAATTCAATTGATGAAGTTAGAACAACGAAGCTCCCTTTTCTAGATTTGTAATAATGACTGATACTGTGCAAAGATCATATGAATCTTGAAAATTAAACAAGTTACAGGAAGTCAGAAAGCTAACCTGCTTGTTGTTGTACGCATTCATGAGCTTTTCATACTCAGACTTCCTTTTTGCTGCTTTGGCTTCATATGGTGCTTTTTCCTTCAACACGTAGAGCAAGCCTTATAAGCTGCCTCATTACAGTAAATATGTACATATTGTCCCTTAAAAAAGATTGTGAAGAATCCATCCTTATGGAGAAACTAAATGCTAATACTTCTGCCGCCAAGTAAATGTCAATGAGAAGCTGAAAGAAGTTTTCGACCCTTAAATGGTATAACATAACAGTATGACATGTATGAAGTGGTCATCGCGCCAAGTTCGCTGCTTGAATCACTAATATTGGTAAATGAATTGAATTACTTACAGCTGCACTCATAGATTTCCACTTCTCTCCTCCAGCTTTCCCGACCTTCATTTATGACATTAAACCAAGAAGAATTCAGTTGCTCAGAACCAGCTACTAAAGGAGGCAATGCTTATGAAATAACATCATAAAAAGCTTACAGCTGATACAGCCTTCACGTTAGGATTTTCCTTTTTAAATGTCTTCCTGAATTCTTCCCTGCAGTGGCATACATGATCATTTGTTGGTTACATCACGCAACTACAGATATGCCACTGAATCTAGAATATATTATAAAAAAAAAGAAGCCTACAGAAATACGAAGAAGGCACTGGGAGGCCTCTTAGGCTTATTAGGATCTTTCTTGGCCTTTTTGTCCTTCTTGGCCTTCCGTTTATCATCCTTCAATGCGGCCTTTCTCTTCCCCATCTTTCTGAAAATAAGAGACACAGACATGATCCATCACTAATATACTCCTTTGATCACTGTGCCTCCATGGAACATCAAAACCAAAATCAGAGAAACTTCATTCCCGAAAGGTCGTAGCATCAGCAACAATTGCACAATGTTCTATGCAACATCAAGTTACCAACACGGGAAATACTTGCATATAAAGCCAGAAACACAAAATATAAAATGCTACTCACCGGTCCTCAACAGGCTTCAGCGCCGACCTTGTTTCTTTTCTCAACGCCCCTTTTCCTTTTCCACCCTTCATTGTAAATTAGAACTGCCTAATCAAAAGCCTAAGTTAAAACCCCATCGCTGTGATATTTTATCAATGAACAATATGATACATAACAACATGAATAATGCACATTGAATACTCAAAGCATTCCAAAATACCAGAAGAATTTAAGGGAGATACAATACAACAATTATTTGTCCTACTCTCCATTTAGATGAAATATTGATTCTTTAACGTAAAGTATATTTTTTTTTCTTTAACCTAGATGACCTTTTTCCCATTGGAAATGCTATATCCTGTCCCAAAACCTTAACAAATAAGTATTCTAATAATTTGAAATAACTTAAAGTCTCTATGTTATATCTCCCTGCATGATCTCTCAATATCAATTTAAATGAACAAAAGCAAGTAAAACCAAAACTAAAACTACTGCAACAAATATACCAATAGGAAGACAAGCCTCAGAAAGAGATAAAGTCAACCTTTTTCACCAGAAAAGTAATACATAATTGAAATTTTGTATGTGATCTCAGTCATAGATCCTTCAAATTTTGGAATTAAATTTAGATATTTGAAAATTACATAAAAGTACTACTCCATAAGTCATAGCAATAGTTAATAACTTAGCTTGGACAAATCTTCAAATAGTAATATAGCCACGTAAATTGGAACAGAGGGAGAAAAAAAATTATCAGCTAGATTTCTTATAGCCTGTTTGGCCAAGCTTATTTTTGGCCAAAAGTGCTTTTTTTGGCCAAAAGCACTTTTGGCAAAAAATTGAGGTGTTTGGCCAAGCTTCTGTAAGGAAAAAAAGTGCTTTTGAGGAAAAGCAGAAGCAATTTTGGAGAAGCAGAAAAAAGTAGCTTCTCTCCAAAAGCACTTTTTTGAGAAGCACTTTTGAGAAAAAGAAAATACACTTAGAAGCAGTTTTTAAAGCTTGGCCAAACACTAATGGCTGCTCAGAAATGTTTTTCAAACTAATTAGCCAAACACAAACTGCTTCTCACCAAAACTACTTTTGAGAAAAGCACTTCTCGAAATAAGCTGATTTTTGCAGCTTGGCCAAACGGGCTATTATACACCCAACACAACGAAAAAAAATCCACTACTTGTACAACAAATAAACCTTCCTAAGAAGACCAAATCAGCAAATTCATTTCTTTTCCTCAATAAGAAAACAGAAACAATGTAAAAATCAAACTAAATCAACCAAAAAAAAAATTTGTTTAACCCAAGTACGTAATTACTTCTGAGAAACCAGTTTTACTCTTGAAACCAATTATTGTGTTATGGGTAATAATTGAATAAGTGTACTGATATAATTTTTCTCAATAAGAAAATTGAATTAAGAAAAATACAAGAACTGTGAATCTACAGCAACAAGTATTAATATGAAGAGAAAAAAGAATAGAGAAGAGAGGACAATACCAGGAAGATAAGAAGTGTTGGGCAGAAGGGAAAGTGAAGAAAAACAGAGCAAAAGCCAAAAGAGAAGAACAGAAGAATCAAGCTACAGCTTTTGTACACGACCGAATAACAAAAGTGAACTCCATTTCACTAACCGGACCTTATTTTACATTTTTCTTTTTAAATTCTTTTTGAGTATAAGTTTTATGTCCTGTGTTAAAAAAATGAGAAAAGGCAATATTCTCACCCTAAATATGACGTGGCCAAGTGTGTATATTTCACGCTCTTTGAAACAGTGAGAAACCAAAAATTTTAGTTACTACTGTAATCTTTTTCTTTTACTTTTTTTCTTCTTCCCATATAACAAAGCCACAATTGAAAGGCGTTAAACTCCATTTAAAGCACCATTTCTTTAAAAATTTAGTTTTGACTTTAGAGTTTAGATGGGTAAAAATTCTCAATCATTATGCGTTTATTCTTATCTTTATATTAGAAAAAAAGGAAATCAAGTTTGATTATATATACACATGTCATCTTCTTATTGCATATTACACTGAATTCATTATGATATAAACTTAACTAACATCTTTTTCCTTTCTTTTCGAAAATATACCGTTCTTTTCTTAACATTCGGCAGAAACGATGACAGGCAGGCGAGTGTATTTCACCTCTCAAGAAAAATTTAGTTATGAAATTTCAGGAAGATTATTCCATTTTAAAATAGTTCAAGACAGTGGTCAGTGGCGGAGCCATCTTATAAGAAAGCGGAAAAATTATATTATATATATATATGTATTGACTTTCCTTAATTTTCTGGTATGTTTACTTTTATATATTTTGACACCCTTTAACCAAAATTCTGGCTCCGTCACTGGCAGTGCCGTAGACAGGATCTCCATGAAGGGGGTTCAAAAAAAAATTGTAGCCTTAGGAAGGTTTTGTACCCCTTGACCACTGAGCTACACTTGGGTTGTGTTATGGAGATTCAAAACTCAATATATAAAGGTAAAAAACAGATTTTACCTTATATATATAGTTTAATTTTTCGAATCCACCCCTGATTTAGAGGATAATAGGATCCCATAAAAAAAAAGTGTGTAGTTGGACTTCAGTCTAGGTTTTATTATCATCTTGTAAAAAGCAGCTGTAAGTAATTTCTGTAACAAACATTAATTAGTAATATTAACAATGGAAAGCAATTTTCTGAACAATTAAAATGTATCATATTCTATCCCATATTAACATGTTCTTAATACACATGTTTTATACACTACATTCTATCCCATATTAACAAATATACGTATTTCTATATAACTTAATGCAAGTTAATTATAATAAATATAGCCAGTTAAACGTGACATGAATGATATAAAAATTTATGGTTTTTTTACCACCAAAAAATTAATTTATTGCTCAAAATATTTTTTTCTTGATATCTGTAATCAAATACTTTATTTATTTATGCTAATTTTGTGATTACCTTTCCTAATCCTTCAACTTGTTTCACGGTATTGGACTTATTATGCGGTAAATACTTCTCAAGCAATAGATAATAATGCATAAATTGTTATGTAAAATTATTATAAAGAAAGGTCCAGAATTATTACAATCTTTGTAGCACTATTACATGTATTTTCATTTATCATTTTATGGGAATATTCTTATTTTACTTTTTAATTTTTATGAAATATTAAATAAAAAATTTGTATGAATTATGTAGATATTAGTAGTTCGAAAGTTTATATCAGAAGTAAATGTTGCATTAGGAATGCAAACAATGCAGAATTTACATTGAAAACCAAATATAATATAATAAAAAAATTGAATTTTAATTTTAAAAATAAAAAAAATTCTAGTAAAAACACCTTTTTTTCTATGTCCTTAAGTCACGACGAATTTGAATTAATCGGATCTCAAACAAATAGTGAACCCCAAAAAAGAAAATTAAAATAAAGAAACGATGCATGGGACAGTAGGTAGGGAGCGTGGCAGTTGGACTAGCAAACTAGGTAGTAATAGCATGCAAGCAAGGACAAGCGAAATATTTTGTGGCATGTTTGAAAGGTAAGCACGTGGAGGACATCAGATATATCAACAATAGGTGTGTTTCTGTGTCGGATCATATTTTTATGTTTAATAAGTATAACTAGCGGTGTTCGTGGTTTGGTTTGGATCGGTTTTTCCCATAAAAGAAACCAAATCAAGTAAGTTAATTTTTCAAATATTAGAACCAAACCAAACCAATTAAGTCGATTTTTTCTCGATTCGGTTTATGTCGGGTTTTGTCAGTTTTTTAATTTTTTCGGTTATTTATCGATTTTTTCTTAAATATAAGACATACACTACCAAACACATATTTCGGCGACCACATTTTCAACGTAACACTATCAAATCAATTGCCCTTTGAGAAATCTATTATTTACCAAAATATATTGATGATAATTGAATCAAATAGTGATGAATAATTTAAGGACTCAATTAAAAATATATTATTTTTAACACGAAATTGATTCTTAACAAAAGAAAACTACCGATCAAACTAGAATGTAAAGGTATAGAACTATACTAAAAGTGTAAATATTAACATTTGCCATTAAATTTTTGAAACTTTGTATAAAAATATACATATATATAGGCGTGATAATAAATTTGAAATAGCTACTCCTATATTTGGTTTGGTTCGGGTTTTTTTTCGGTATTTTTCCTGATTAAAACCAAAACCAAATCAAATTTGATCGGTTTTTAAAATTCAAAACCAAAATCAAACCAAACCAAAAAGTATCGATTTTCTTGGTCGGTTTGGTTTAGTTTTCGGTTTGGTTCGATTTTTCGGATTTTTATGAACACCACTAAGAATAACCTTTCAGTAGATTCTTCTTCGTTTAATATTTCCTTAGAGCCTGTTTGGAAAGCCACCTAGGAATTGGATTAGGGTATAATTAGGTGAAATTACACAGTTTGGTATGTTTGTTTGGCCAAGTAATACTTGGTCAGCATGTAATTGGAGGGGTGTAATTACACTCTCCAATTATCAAGAGGGAGGTTAAGAATCGGTGATAAATTACACAATGTAATTATATGTTTACTTTTTAGTTTCTTTCCTTTTTGTTTTTATTTTAATTTATTTTCTTTATAAAGTTTTATTTCTATTATTTTACATTTTACATTTTATTTCTACTTTTTAAGTTCTTTTAAAATATGTGTACATTATTTATCTTTTATTTCTCTACCTTTACTTCTTGTGATTCCATGTAATTGCTTATATTTTATTTTTTATTTATTTTATTATTCTATTTTTTGAAACTACACCTCCTAATATTAGAAATAACGAGTCATTAACAGACTTGGCATATAATGAGTGATGCAATTAAAGTAAAATTTCGTGGTTGAATGTGATTATAAAATTTTTTTTTTTCTAATTTTAAGTTGTAGTGGAACTTACTATTATTATGTTAGAATTTGACATTTGTTAGACTATTATTATTTTTTTTTTTTTGGATTTTGGAATTGTGTTATATTCATGGTTCCAATTTACTAGTTTTAGTAGTATTGGCTCACATTCCATTATGTTCATTTTTTAGTTAGAATTGATAGATTAGTTTAGTCAAACATTTGAATAATATTATGACATTATATTAATTTATTTTATCAAACATGAATTCCATGATGTTGTTACAAAACGTATGTTTTTAGTTTTGTAAGTATCTAAACTATATATAATATGATATATATATATATAATAATATTATATATATATATATATATATATATATATTAAATACCAAATATAATAAGTATATTTATACTTAAAAAATTTATAGGCATATATTTATTTTATATATTTACTTTTAAGTTTTGATAATGACTTCATTTAAGATTTAATCTAACTGTGTAATTACACTTGTGCAACCAAACAGTAAACTTATAATTATAGTGTAATTACACTATGACAAACAAATAGATTGTCGTAATTACACAACTATAGAATTACTAGGCTGTGTAATTACTACGCCTAGTATTATACCAATTTCAATTACCTAGTGGCTTTCCAAACAGACTCTTAAATTTTTTCTTTCATGTAATCATGTTTGATTGTTTTTCTCTTTATTTCTAAAGTTCTTCTAAGTAGCTTTAATTAATAAGTAATTAGATGTCTTGTATAGATCTAATGACGTGCATAACTTTCATATGGAGGGAGTAATTATTGGGATGAAAGTGATAAATGTGGGAAACCTATATATTTGTAATTTTTATTGCTTTTTTGAACTTGAAATCATCTATATTGTCTAGCTTTATTGAGGCATGGTATACTACGTCTTAACAGAGTTACTAGCTAAGAGTTACTTTCATAATTTAAATCGTAATATTATGAGCTTGAATTAAATATTTTAAAGTTTCTATACTCTCTATCAATTATGCAAATAAAAAAGTATAAATTCCTTTAGTAGTTGTATTTTTTTTTTAATTTTTTTTTGGACATAGAGAGTTTTATCAGCTCTTTTCCCTGTACTTAACCAGGAAAGTCTCAAGTATTTGAGAGAGAAATATAAAAGGTAGGGCAATAGATGCGTAAGAAAAAACATTTTGTTTCTGGCCATTATCAAAGGATTTTATTGTTATTATTCGCATTTCATAATTAATGGAATGAGAATCTATTTGATGCTTACAAGCTGGCTCTTATCGAACGTCTCATTATTGTTGTAATAGTAACTATATCAATGAAGTCCCTCTGCTTTGGAGAAAAAATCAACCCAAAAATATACAATTTGATGAAAATTTCACGAAGTAACATATCTAGCTAGGCGTTTTACTCGTGTAAAGAAATTTTTTCACTATAAATAGCATCTATGTTATTGCTATACTTTTTAGTTATCATATCAGGTTGATAGTTACATATTATTGTAAGTCAACTTAACCTGATATATAGGATAAAAAAAAATTACTCACAATATGAATGCACATAACATATAAACTCGTTCGCTGAAACAAATTTCCTAGGTGTTGTCCACCAAAAAGATATGAGCGAGTGTAATAATAGACTCTTCAATTAATAATGTTAGAATTACATATGTATTTATTCGATAGTGTTTGATTTACAAGGAATCAAGGTTTCGAGCCAGCTTTTTGAAATATAGTAATTAAAATAATGTGTAC